CTCTGCACGCGCCGCTGTGGTGGGGTGAAGGGAGGCTCACGCCACCGGCCGCAGGCGCGGGAGCTGCTCCCCAAGGGCTGGTCTAGAAAAGCGGCCACCGCTGCCCCTCCCGCGAGGCCTCCCCGCCGACTATGGTCCTGTGGCTGGCGGCCAGGTTGGGGTCCCAGCTGCCCCCACTTGGAGATGTGCCCGACGGCACATCCTAAGGGTCCCCACGCAGACGTCTGCAGGTGCCTCTGGGCCCGCGGCCCTGCCGGGGCGGCCCGTGCTTGGCCACCCGCGGGCACAGCAGCTTCGCCGTCTGCCCCTCCACTCGGTCTCCGGGAGTGTCCGGAGGACACGCAGCGAGCTTGGCCCGGCCCGGCCCGAGTCCTCCGCCCGCTCAGCGCCGGGCACTGCACGTCTCCTCCGCGCCCAGCCGTGATGCCTGCGCCCTGCCCGACTCGGTCGGCCCCGTGTCCCGCCCGCGCTCTGCGCCCGCGGTGGGCACACCTATGAGCTCGGGCGCTCCCCTGGGGCCACGGCGCCGGATTAGATGCCAACAGCAGGGCCAGGACGGGGGCCCAGCTCTCACGGGCTCAGGCCCCCAGAGGCCAAGTGTCACTGTCAACAGCCTCATCACGCTGCTAAGGGCCTATCCATCCCCGAGTCCCGGGTCCTGGGCATCGCAGGCCTCGAGCCCCTGCCCCGGAAGTGCCGCCCACGTCGGCCGTGCCAGGAGAGGCAGACCCCCGCGAGGAGACCAGCACAGTGTCCGTCCCCCAGAAATGTGAGGCGCTGGGGTTCTCTTTGTTACGGTATTGAGAACGGCAGCGGCAGCCCAGTGCATGTCCAGCAGCAGCCCCGGCGTGAAGGGGCATCCGTGTCCATGGGAACCCCATTTTCCTTGAGGGGCGTCCTATGGCCCGTGAAGGCCCCTTGCTCCTGGGATCTGCGCCACATACCCCAAGACAAGCCCAGTGCCCCCTGGAGCTCAGTGGCCCCTCAGCCTGCCCCTGGCCCTGCCCGGGCTGGACGCTGCAGGAGGACACACGGCCACGTGGGTGCCCGCCGCACTGCCCCGACCTGGCCTCTCCCACCCCACCCTGGCGCCCGCAGGCGGCGGGCAGATGAGGCTGCGTGTTCAGCCAGTGGGGGCAGGTCCGGCCGCCGCATCCAGGCCTCAGGTGTGACAGGTGTGTGGGCGCGTGGGGGGCGGGGGGGTTCCACAAGCCTCTGTCGGAAATGGACGGCTTCAAGGTGGACTATAACGGAGGACCGGCACGTCAGCTCGCGAGATAAACGCAGAACTGGCCATTGGCTGGTGAGCGGGCTGCACACGCGAGCCGCACACGCGAGCCGCACACGCGGGCCGGAGTCACACCCGCCTGCTCGGCTTTATTTGACGAGACCTGCCCCCTCCTCCACCTCAGAGCTAGACAGACAGACACGAGGAAGCGAACTCTGGAAGGCGGCCTGGAGGGCACGGAGCAGCCCCAGCAGCGGGAGAGCTGGGCTCTTTATTCCAACAATAGCAACTGTCTAGTTAAAAATCTAACTGCGTACAAGGGGGTGCGCCACCAAGCCCCCCGTTCTCACACTGATGGCCCCAAGAACTGCCGCCCGCAGCAAGGCCCTGGCCTGGGGGTGCTGGCTGCTCAGCGCCCGCCACGTGCCCCAACTGCGGGCTCGGAGGACACCGGGCAGCAGCCCGTAAACACTGCCCGGCAGGACCCTCACCCCGGGGCCCGGTTGCCAGCGGGGAGATAGCGGCCACAGTGCACACGCGCGTGCAGGGGCCTTGACAGGCCGAGTGTGTCTGAGGGTGTGAGAACATGTGAGGGCGAGGGTGTGAGAGTGCACGTGTGTGCACGCGCATGTGGAGTGTGCGAGCATGGGGGGTGAGTGTGCCAGCATGTGAGTGTGCCAGTGTGCGGGGGGGGGGGGTCTGCAGTGTGTGGTGCACGTTCGTGGGGGGTCTGAGCGTGTGTCTGGGGGGATGCTGTCCTGGTGCAGCGCGGGGGCAGTGCCCCCCCCCGGCGGGGTCTGCATGAAGCCCTTGCCCCGGGCGGCTGGGGGTGCACGCGGCCCCTCCCCTCCCGTGCAGGGCGGGGCAGACCGAGCAGGCTCCCGCCGCGCCCACCCCGCCAGCCTGGAGGAGCGGCCGGGGGGGGGGGGGGGCGGGGGGGGGGGGGGGGGCTGGGGGGCCGGGGCTCGGGAGGCCGGGGTGCGCGCTGTAGCGCCGGGGGGGGGGGGGGGGGGCTGTAGCGCCGGCTACAGCGCGCTCAGGTGCGGCAGCAGGTCCAGGGGCGCGGCCCGGCGCGCGGCGGCCGCGGCCTCCACGCCGCGCAGCCACTCGGTGCACCTGCGGACCAGGCCCTCGTCCCGGGGCGCGGCCTCCTCCGGGCGCTCCGCGTCGTCGCGCTCGCGGGGCTCGGCGGGCGGCGGGGGCGCGGGGCGGCGGGCGCGCGCCGCCGGGGGCCGCCTGGACGCGGCGGCTCGGGGAAGGGCGCGGGGCGCTGTGGGGCGCGGGTCCCCAGGCCGCCGCCCGCGCCCTCGAGGCCGGGGCCGCCGCGGGCCGAGCCGGGGCGCACGGGGCGGGGCCGGGCGCGCGCGGGGCCGGCGGCCTCTTGGGGCCGGGCGAGGTTGGGGCGCCGGGGAGCGCGCCCCGGGGGCGCTCGCGGGGCCGCGGCTGCTTCTCCGCGGCCGCGGGCGGCGACCAGGGCCCGGGCGGGGCGCGCGGCCTCGGGAGCTGCGGGCGCGCGGCGGGGGCCGGGGCCGGGGCGCGCGGCGGGGGCGGCATGGTGCGCCGGCGGCGGGTCAGGGGCGCCCTGCGGAGAGAGGGCGGCTCCCAGTCAGGGGCCCACGGGCCGACCCGGCGCCCTCCCCGGGGTGCCCGCCGGCGCCCCCGCACCCACCTCCGTGCAGCGGCAGCATCGCGGCGGCCCGGCGCCCGCGGACAGGGGCTGTGCGCCCAGCGCCCTGCCTCCTGCCTGCCTTCGGGTCGGGCTCACCCCGCTCGCTCTCGGGGCTCCCGCGTCCCAGCCAGCAGGGCCGGCGCCCGCCACCAGCTGGCGAGGGCTCCGCGCGGCCCCGCGACCAGCCTCGGGGGGCAGGGCCTGGCCGGCGGGGGAGGAGCCGGGGCAAGTTCTCCGGGGCAACCAGACCCAGCGCCAGGCCCCCCCTTAACCCATCAGAGGCGCCCTGAGCCCCGGGGCCCCGGCAGGTGGAGAAAGTCCTTTCCCACTGCCCCCTCGGGTGCAGGGCGAGGCCGGGGCGGGCCTTGGGGAGGCTTTCCGGGACTTGCCTCCAAGTATGTCGGGCTCAGCCACCCGCGAGGGAGCTGGAAAACCTGGTGCTCCGCGAGGGGGTGAGGGGCTCCCCCCAGTTACAGGCCCCCAACGCCAGGCGTCCGGGTCTCCCAGGGAGGGGTGCAAGGGGAGGCAGCTCCGTTGCTGCAGCACAGGCTCACAGTAAACGGGCTTCACCCTCATGCCAACTTCTGTTTTAGTTGCAAAGACAGGAAAACAGTCCCGCGTCTGTTGATGGAGTCCCTGAGCGAGAAAGCGATGCCGCGGCCGGTTTCCTGGAAGCAGCCCCCCCAAGGCTGGGGTGGCTGCCAGCTCCCCGGAGGATGTGCTTTCCCAGCGAACCTGGAGACGCCAGGCGGCTGGCAGGCACAGGCTAGTGCCGGGCCTACGTGCGCTCCGGCACAGGACGTCCGGGTCCCCTGGCGGGTCACCCAGTACCGGCACCTTCGCGTCAGTGACCAGGGCCAGCCCGCAGCCCGATCCCATCCCAGCAGCAGCTGCGCCCCCACCCGCCCCCCCACGTCAGGGCACAAGGATGCGGTCACATTCTGGCCCTGGCCCCGCGTCCCTACTGGGTGCTCCCGCCCTGCGCAGGGGCTGATGGGAAAGGTGAGCGTGCTGGGCATGGCTTCACCTCCCTCCCACCAGCCCGGCAGCAGCGGTGCCCGGGGCGGGCTGGGCAGTCAGGGCGGCGGGACACAGGAGCAAGTCGGTGCACGTGGACGGGAGCCGCTTCTCAGCCTCTGCGCCGCCTTCGTGCCAGCGCCTCTCCAGACCCCCAGGGCGCCCTAGGTCACTCTCCGACAGGGCACAGGGCTCCCCCCGCTCGTACCCCATGCCAGCCCCGAAGCCTCATCCCAGGGTCCCCAGCCCGTTCCCCCAGCCCTGCGGAGCCGGCTCCCCGGCCAGCAGCAGATGTGCTCATCTGCGGGGCGCCCGGCTCGCTCTGGAGCCCTGGCTGAGGCCCGAGTCGCGCAGATGCGTGTGACAGCAGCTTCTCGAGACAAGCCTGGAGCCTGTGACGAGAAGGCTGAGCAGCAGGCTCCACGCCAGACCCGCGGTGCCGCCCACAGCCCATCAGAAGGCCAGACTGGCCGCCGGCCCCTGGGGCTGGAGAAACGGAAGCGGAGGGGTGAGCACCGGCCCAGGGCGCAGGGCGAGACCGAGACGGCCCCGGCACCCCAGCGCGACGGCAGCACCTGCCGGCTCACCTGCCCTGCTTCTCCTGCACCTCTGCGGCTGCTGCCTCCGACCAGAGCCGCCTCGGCGGCCCACGGCAGGTGCTAACAGCAGGGCCCCCGAGGGAGCTGCACGTTCCATGTACACCTGGGGAGGCGTCGCGCGCCAGGGGCCCCAGGACCCCACAGCACCGCCATGGCCTCGGGCTGCGCCCTCCTGGGCAGAGGTCCTGCGGTGAAGCCAGGCACGAGCCCAGCAGCGGGGGGCCAGGGCAGCCAGCAGACCAGGCGGGGGCTTCGCGAAACCAGAGGTTAAGAGGTGGGGGCAGATGTGACTTGGCGCTCCCTGCATGAGGACTCGGCCCCGGGGCCCCCTCAGACGCCACGCGGGAGCCACCGCCGCACCCCGAGCCAGCAGGTGCCGCCGCCCCGACTCAGCCCTTCCCCCGGCCCCCGCTCTGGTGGGCTGCTGGGCGGTGCACAGCCCAGACACTGCCCTTCCCGGCTGCCCCACAGAAAGGCCAGCGCCCAGCCCTGAGCGAGGCCCCCCAAAACAGCACACGCGGCATCTAGAAAATGTTAGTTTTCCAAGCGTGGAAGTGAGGATTTATCTCAAAGTTGTAAAGATTTATATATTATTTTTATTACATATAATAAGCCGTGTTTAGCTAAAGTAAAAACATTCACATTTAAAGTTTGTTTAAAAAAGTTAAAAACGTGGACATCTTAAAGGAGCCGAACGGAGCGTCGCACGCAGCACGCGTCTACCCCGGAGAGCCGCGTCTCAAAGGCGGCTTGGAGAAGAGGGAAGAAGCGGCCGGAGAGGACCCGCGCGCGGCTGGGGCTTGACCCCTCTCGGGGAGAGCCTGGCCAGGACCCCGCACCCCACGCGGGAGCGCGGAGCGGCTGTGCACGCGCGTCTGCGGCCGTCCACGCCGGGTCTTCACAGTGGTCCCTGCGGGCGCTCCTGGAGTGGTCGTCCGTCGGGCAGGGCACGTCGCCAAAAGCAGAGCATGAGCTCCCAGAAGCCGCCCGAGCGAGCGGCCTCAGCTCAGGAGGGAAGAGCAGCACTTGATCACCGCGTCCCTGCGGGAGGGCCCGGGTGGGATGAGCGCGTCTGCAGGAGCCCCGTGGCCGAGGGCCAGGCGACGCCCCCTCCTCGAGACCCCAGGAGGCCCCACGTGTCTTGATGACCTAAACTCCGTGACGTCACCTGAAGCTGCGCTTTGGCAATAACTGGCTCGCGCCTGAAGTGATTACTAAGGAAACGCGCCAGCACGCGAGCTGACCCTACCAGGAGATAAGCGCCCGCGCCCGCGGACAGCGACGGCAAAAGCAAAAGGAGAGTAAACCGGAGTTTAAAAAGCAAAACGCTCACGAGCACAGCCTCAGAATGCCCCAAACGTCAGGATGAACCGCTGCGTCCTTCGCGTTCTTTTCCGAAAGCTTTAGCTGTGACTTAACACTCGACTCACATAAGACGACGTCTACGGCCTGCGGTCAGCTGCCCCCGCAGGCCAGGCGGCCAGCAGACTCGGCCGCTCCCCCGCGCAGCACCCCGAGCTCGGGGACGGGTGGGCGTGGCCCGCAGCAGGGGCGGCTGACCAGAGCGGAGTCCTGGCGCGAAAGGCGGAGCCCGCCAGGCCGCGGGCCGGCTGGCCCTGCTCTGCCTCTCCCCCCCAACCCCCCCTCCCCGCCAGGTGTCCTGCAGAGACCCCTCAGGACAGGAAGGGAGAGAGAGAGGCTGCCGTGTCCCTCTTGCTCCCACCTGGACTGCAGCTGGCCGCTGTGCGCAGAGCCGCCCCTGTGCTGCCAAATCCCAGAGCAGCTACACCTCAGCCTCGCAGACGACCTTCCTCAACTCTGTTTGTACAGCTTTCGGGGGGGCCCTGCGCACAGCAGGGAAGCTCCCGCGACAGCGTCTCTACGGGCCCAGCGCAGACGCGTGTCCACGGGCCGCGACGTCTCACCCATCCCCGTCTCCCCGGAGACTCTGCCTAGTGGACGACGCTGCCTCTCCCGAGCCGCACGGCCAGGAGGGACCCGGGTCTCCGGCCAAGGCCCCGCCTCCTCGCCAGGCAAGGGCCGCCGGTCTCATGAGAATCTCACTCACTCCCGGGAAGAGTCAAGTGAGAACGAAACAGCTTTTGAAAGGGGGCGCTGGCGCGCGGGGCGGGGCCGGCTCACCTGGCGTACGGGATGTAGGACAGGCTGTACCTGCAAGACAAAGCCACGCGTGTTTTCAGTGACGAGACGCCGCCTAGTGCCCGAGGGCCGCAGCCCAGCGCCGCCAAGAATCAGGCCACGGAACCCGGCACAGGGCACCCGCCCAGGGGCGCCCTCACACTGGGACTCGATAGGGGCCCCCACCCTCGGCCCGGCCCACCCCCAAGGGACGCAGCCTGAACCAGCAGCCTGGCCGCCTTCATCGACCCAGCCCGGAGGCCCGCGGCAGGCTCAGCACCCGCCCTCCGAGAGTTCCGTCTCGGAACCGCAGGGTCCAGCCGGGAACAACGGCCTTCCCCCGGGGGGCCCACCGACCGCGGTCCGACAGGGCCGCACGTTTCCCTGGAGCGCAAGCCGCTGTCCCCGCGAGCTGCAGAGACGGAGCCGGCGCCGCGTGACCTCCAGCAGCGGAAAGGCAGACAGGGCCAGAGGTGCCGGAGACGGGGGCGGGGCAGAGGGAGGGCCTCTGCGGTCGGGGCAAGCCAGACTCCGCTCCAAGCCAGAGGAAGACACTCCCGAATCACTCTGATGCGAGACGCCCACTCTGGCCCACGGGCACACACGGGGCCCGGGCTGGGGGATCCGAGACGGAAAGATGGCTCGGGAAGGGGAGCCCGAAGGGGGATCGGGTAGAGGAGGCGGCCACGTTCTCACGGGGTGTCCAGACCGGACAGCCACCAGGGGAGCCCTGCTTCGGGCCTCTCCAGCTGCGCGGTGCAGCCGCACGCGGTCGGGCGCTCCCGGGTTCAGCGGGCACAGGCTACGTTTCTCCCGGCCCTGTCTCACTTATTGGAATGGCTGTGAACACGCCACGGAGGAAGTGTGCAAGCACGGAGCCCTCCCTCCCACAGGCGCCTGGCTCTCCTCCTCGGGCACCGCCCCGCGCCCACCAGACCTCTCCCGAGGCCCCTCCCAGCACCCGGTGACGTGCCAGGGACGCCCCCAGCAGAGGACAAAGTGCCGGCCGCTCCCCAGGGGGCACTCCCGGCCTCACGGCCCGAGACTTACCAGGTCATCGACAAGAACTGCAGTATGCAGAACAGCAAGGCCAGGCCCCGCTTGTGCCACTGGCAAGAGAAACGAGAGTCAGGGGCTGGCAAGACTGCTTCCCACCCACGGGCCGCTCCACCCCCTCCAAACAACTCGGCGCCATTCGCAGGCCCAGGAAACGCAGTGCGGCTCAGCGTCACGCCGTGGGCCAGCCCAACGTCAGGAAGCACAGCCCCTGCCAGAATCCTGCCTTCGTCAGACACTGCCACACGCACCCCCTTCAATGACTGTCCCTGAAGAGCGCGCAGAGCGCAGACGCCAGAGCGCCAGTGTCGGGGGCTCCAAGTCAGCGGCTCAGCGCCCCGCGCGGCTAAGGGCAGGCAGCAGCCGCGGGCTCGCCACGCGCCGGGGGGTGTCCCCGCAGAGGCAGAGGCCACACACTCCACGTCCCCCCTCCTTTTCCTGTGTCTTTTTTGTTTCCTTTTTTAAGGACAGCAGCGTTTTATTGTGATCTTTTGGAATAATAAAAACAAATTCCATCGTTTAAAAATGATCCATTTTTAGACTTCCCTATCTTGAGGAATTCCCATTTTTATTACTTATTTCCTGATTTCTACTGCTACTGATCGACAGGCGCCTAGACAATTCCAAAACTAGCAATCAGTGTCCCCGTGCGCACAGGCGGTCTCAGACGCTGCTGCGAGACCGTGGGGAAGCGGGTGTCAGGGAAGGCTCGCTGAGGTTCAGCTTCCGCCATGAAAACACACAGGCCACAGACTGCTCTTGAGAGGACATCTCCAAAGCGCCCTGTACGCCGTCCCCCCCGACAGTGTGTTTCTGACGGCTTGAGAAGCACCTCACGCCCGGGGGAGGGCAAAGGGAAGGGCAACGGGGCCGGCTGGGGTGGCCGCGCGGGTGGGTGCCACCGGCCGGCCCCCAAAGGCACCTGAGGAGCTGCCTGTCCAGGCGGTGCCCCGCCCAGTGCAGTCCCTCCATGTCCGTGTCGGATGCTTTGGTTCATTTTCTGGCCTTTCCCCTCACCAGCTGGACTCCTGGTCACCCCTCAGCTGCACGCTGCCGGCCGGGAGAGAGCCCGGACCTGGGCCAGGCCTCTCGTCACGCCCACTACAGGGGTCAGCCAGACCCAACCAGAGCCCAGTGTGCGCGCGCTGCACGCCTGCACGGGGTGTGCCCGCCCGAACTGGCAGCATCTACGGCAGGGAGTCTAGCTGGAACTGGATGGCACCCATTTTAGGGACGCTTGGTCTCCAGCAGTCGTCGAGCTCCTTGGAGATGTGTGGCGACGCGCCACCAGGGAGAGAGACGCGGTCAGCGGGAAGCCGGCAGGGCGGACGTCACTTACCCAGAGGGCGGCACACAGGGTGAGCACCAGGCACAGCTGCAGGGAAGGAGAGAGTGGAAGCGTGGGGGCGTGCACCAGTTTGGTGAACACACGCCAGCCCCGCATTCCCCTGCAGACAGCACGCGGGAGGGGAAGTCACCGGCCGTGACAAGCTGTCCTGCGGCGCCGGGCGCTGACGACAGCCCCGTCCACACAACCACTCGCACAGTTTGGCGCAGCTTCAGAAAAGAACTGGCGCGATTTTGCACACAGGAAGATGACATCGCCACCCACGAGCCTGTGTCCTCAGAGGCCAGGAGCGCGCGTGAGAGGCAGGGGACAGCAGAGGGCACAGGCAGGAGGCTGCCACGAGCGACTCGGGCGGTCCCAGCTCGGATGCCCCGGCCAAGCGTCCTCGGTGAGGCGCTGCCTGTCCGGTCCTGTCGCCTTCCACTCAGGTGCGCACAGCGGTGCCCTCCCCGCTCCGGCGCCACGAGCAGGCGACAGCAGCGTGTCGGGGCGCAGAGCTGGCTGGCGCGGGCACCTCCGCCCGCCATCGCCAAGCACAGCCTCGTGGCCACAGGTCAGAACCGGCCGCGCTTCACCGGGAAGGCAGGAAAATTAGACCAGAAACGGTTTCTCTGCTTAGAAGAGGCCGTCACGCAGCACGGCTGAAGACGGTCCCTCCTCACAAGTCCACAGAGGGCGGCGTGTCTGCGAGCTAACAGCAGGATGCTGACGCGCCCGCAACAGCACACTGTCCCGCCGGAGACCGGCCGGCAGCGGCGGCGCACGCGAGCCCGCGGCCGGGGAGAGGCTCGGGCTCCCGGCCCTAATCTCAAAGCCAGGATCTGGGAAGGACCCAAAACCCACATTCCAACTCAGCCCCCCCATCCCGCGGTCTGGACCCGGAGACCAATGGGCCACGAGGGCAAGCCTGAGGCGTGTCCCCCCAGGAACGTCCCTTGGCAGCCTGACGGGAAGGGACGAAGTCAGGGCACAGGTTTCTGAATTCAGGCCGCCCTCCCGGAGGCGGTGGAATGACCCAGAAGCGACGCTCACGGGGCTCTCCGTCAAGAGATGACGCGGGGCCGGAGGACGTGGAGCCGAGGCAGAGGCAGGCGCCACAGCGGGGTGGGGCCCAGGCCTCTGCGGGTGATGCCGCGCACCCCAACCCGGCCCAGGTGCCACCCACAGCGCACGTGCGACGGGTGTCCGAGCCGTCGTCACTACTCACCAGCATGACGACCGTGGCCAGCAGCCTCGTCGGCTCAAACATCTTCTTCAGCTGCTTCACGGGGCCCATCAAGAAGCAGGTGCTGCGGAGCAAACAGAAGCAGAGACGGCCCGCTGGTCGGTGTGCCCTGAGAACAGGCGCCGTCGGGAGCCCTGACGCCTGGGGTTGACTGTGGCAGCCCTCACTACCTGCTGTATTTCTCCTTGATAGTAAAAGAAACCTCACCAGTTTAGCTCTCTGTGGGGAAGGCACACGCCGGCGCGCCGCGGTCTGGAACCACAGGCGAGGGCGTCTGATGTCTCCCGGGACGGGGCTTCTGCGAGCCGACTGCGGGGACGCGGCGCAGGCCCAGCCGGAGAGAGCTGGCCGAGCCTCACCCCGGTTCACCTCCCACCACCTCGGACGCAGAACGCTCCTGAAGCAGCAGGCCACCCCTGAGAGGCGGGTGTACGGGTGCTGAGCTCCCGGATCTGATACACTCAGCGGACACCGGCACCCCCAGAGGCAGATGACCCGCAGAGAGGAGCCCCCGCACCTGCTGACGGTCAGCCCGCCAGCACCGCACCCCACACCTTCTCCAGTGGCGGCCTCGCTCGCCACCAGGCTCGGCGCGAGGGGCCGAACACAGCAGCCGCGGGCTGCGCGGGCGCCCTGGGGGCCGGGCCTCGCCGTCACCCTCGCCGGCAGGCCACGGGCAGCGGCCTCTGTGCCGCACGCCCAGCTAGGGGGCGGGTGAGGAGGGGCCCACCTCACACTCTGGGGGGACACGCGAAACCCCCGCGCAGCTCCAGGCACCCTCAGGCTGGCCACTCCCCAGGGAGCCGGGCCCGCGGGGAGCGTGCGCCTGTGGCTGGGCTCGCGCGCGTGGAGCCACAGAAGAGCCCCCAGAAGAGCGCTCTGCGGAAAGCCCGCTAGAGCGCAGGCGCCAGGCCCACACGTACCTGGCCAGCGCGGCGACGTTCCCCAGGGTGTAGAACACGGCGAAGAGCTTGATGCCGCCGGGGAGCCAGAGCAGCGCCGTGCCCTGTGTCGGGACGGGACAGGCAGCGCTAAGGGTGGCCCTGCCAGCGCAGCGGCCCAGAACGCCAGCGGCGGTGCTGGCAGGCGCTAGCCCAGCGCGCGAGCGCAGGGTGGTACCCGCGTGCGGCCTACGGTTTTACCCACCAGTCAGCTTGCAGCGCCGCTGGCCGTCTGACCCTCCCGCCCGCGGGCACGGAAGCTGCTCGCCCGGGCCCCGCACCACCTTCCTCGCCGGGAGCGAAGCGCCGTGTCGGCGAGCAGCCCCGCCGGCCGGAAGTGGCGAACAAGCGACGTGGACTTGGCAGCTCCCCTAACACGGGCCGCCCCCGCCTCACTCCCGCACCGGGGCCGCCCGCCCTGCCCGGAGCCCGCCCCGACACGGGCCCGAACTCACCAGGATGGAGAAGAAAATGCCAGCGACGAAGCAAATGGCGAAGCACTTCAAGCGGGTGTTGAAGCTGAGGGACGAGGCGTCCAGGACCTTGGGGAGGGGCGGGGAGGGAGGCGAGAGCGCGGTGAGTCGCCACGGCCGCCGCGGCCCCCGCCTCACGAAGGCAGAGACGGTCGGCCGGCCTCGCGCTGCTGGCCCGGGGTCGGCGGAGCAGGAGGCCCCTCGCAGGCCCGGGCCAGCCGGCCGGGAGGTGGGCAGGGCCCCGCAGAGGATACTCGGGAGGACACACAGGAGGGCGCCGCGACGGGCTGCGCCGTGACAGACGCTGAGGCCGGGCATCGTCCTCCCGCTCCCGTTTCGCCGCCCCGCCAGAGCGCCCTCTGTGAGGCTCCGAATGGGCTCCCCGTGCAGGAAAGGCGCTCAGGAGGCCTTCAGGGGAGTGGGGGGCACTGGCCAGGCCAGGGTCCCGACGGGCCGGAGGTCAGCCGGGCCCGCAGCGCAGACCGCTGGGTCACCCGGCGCGGAGGCAGGCGGGACCCTCTCCCCAGCAGCTGGCGGTGGGCCGCAGGCTGGGGGAGGAGCGGGTAGCCCGGAAGCTCTAGGGTGAGCGGCGTGCGCCTCGGGGGTGCTCCAGGGCCAATGGAGGGACCTGGGCAGCCACCGCGGCGTCACCGCGGGATGCAGCCAACGGCTTCCATTTAAGAAGTTCCCTTGACGCCAACTCCTCCGTCCGGCCAGCAGTGCAAACGCCTCTGGAAGGACCATGTATTCCACAGCGGCCGCTGTCGCGTCGTCACACACACGCTCCCCAAATGACGTGGACGGCAACAGTCCCCGCCCCGGAGACAGCGGCTGACCCGGCACAGCCCCGGCCTCGCAGACACGCGTGGTGGACAAGAGCAGACGCCCTCGCCAGCGCGACGCCCCACCCGGTCACTTCGCTCCCGAAGCCCGACGGCACGAACGGCCCCTCGCGGCCCAGAGGACAAGGCAAAAAGAGCAGCGAGCCCCGGGCAGCGGCTCCCGGGCAGCAGGGCCCGCCGGGGCCTGCCCAGAGCTGCTCCCACAGGCCGGTTTCCCTGGCGCCTCAGCTCCGCTCGGGCCGCGGGTCCTGGGCTGCGACCCCAGGCCTGATGCTATTTGGCCTAAGCCGGCAGGATCACTTTGTTCTGGGAATGCCACAAAATTTCTCCGTAGGAACCGCAAGCTGGGGCCCCTCCAGCCCAGGCCAGTCCGGCTGACGAAAGGCTTCACGGAAAGCTCTGGCCCACAGGGAAGGGGCGCTGCTCGCCGCTCAAAGAGCCATTTCCGGACACTGGAAACATGTAAAAATCCACACGCCTCGATTTCCAGCCCGCACTATCACATGCAGCCAAAAAGAAGACCCCAGCTTGCGTTCTTGGGGAAAACGAAGCAGAATGTTCTATACACAGAGGGTCAAGCCCTCGGCTACACGCCTTACCTCCACGGATTAATCCGCCAGTCCTCGGCAGCGTGAAAACAGACAAAGTAATTAAAGATTGTCCTGTCAATATAACATGTCACTTTCTTACACATTTTAAATGCTTCTTTCAAAAAAAAATTGATGGAATTATACACGTAAGAAGGGGGGGAGGGGAAGGGCTGAGAGGACTCCCCAGAGCCAGAGCGGGGAGCAGAACAGGCGAATCTACAGATCCTCTGACACCCAGTGCGGAGGGGAGCTGGGGGAGGCAGGAGGGGCTGCCGCGCCCTGTGGGAGCTCCCTGGCTGGGGATCGGACTCAGGCCGCAGCGCGGACAGCCTGAGACGGACCCTTAGGCCCCCGGGAGGCCCAACACATTTTAAATATTCCTTAAAACCTGCGTGAACTCACACCCGCATTTCCAGCAATTCTATGTTTATAGCGAAACTGACTCCTGTTTCCAGCGACCCTGCCTATAAAAATCCCTTCCCTCTTCCCTTCCCGGGGGAAGCAGGGCGCGTCCTCTGAGGACACACCACAGACGGACGCCAGGCCCGCGCCCCACACAGGCGGCCCGGAGCCGCCAGCGCCCAGGAAGGGCGGCCCCGCCGCGGGCGCACAGGCGTGAGGGCCGGCGGGCGGAGGGAGCGCCCACCTCCGCCTTCTTCTCACGGTGCAGCCACCTCATCGCCTGCCCGGCGGCCATCCCGCGCTGCCAGCTGACCCTGCCCTCGGCGCTGCTGCCCGGGACGCGGGCGCTTGCCCAGGACACCCGTGTTCACGTGCAGGCATGGAACAGTCGGGCCGCGGGCGAATGATTTACCCCAAGTCGGCGCACGGTGTGGGCAGGTGCTCGCCGAGGACGCTGCGCAAGGCTTCAGGGCCGGGAGAGCCGCCGGGGACGAGCCCGCCCTCCGGCCCGGCCACCGCCCGAAGCACCCCAGCCACCGCGCGGCTCCTCGGTGCTGTCCCCGACATACCGAAAGTGGCGCCAGCTGTCTCGCTCGTTATCAAAGGAAGAGGAAGCAGCTGTCTCAGGGCAGAAGCCTGCTCCGGGCCTGCCCCCTGCGAGCTGGCCAGCAGACAGCAGGAAAGAGGGAGACGTTCATTTTTAAGAAAACCGGGAGAGCCGGGAAACAGGAAGAGGTCTACCACCGTCACAGCGAAAGGCCCGGGGGCGAGGGAAGGGGCAGGCGGTCCCTCCATGGAGCGGCCCCGGCCTCCCCAACTAGGCTCTTCCAGGACCAGTTCCAATACCCGCCACTCCCCCCCTCGGACCCCTGGGGCCACAGGCACCAGTGCTCACACCAGTCCCCACCTCTCAGCAGTCAGACCAGAGTCTTCACTTGCTCATGCACCCACCAGGTGGGCTGCTGTTCCCAGCCAGGCACATGGTAGGTTCCAGACACAGCAGGAAGCACTCGGGGCCCACCTGCCCTCGGGGCTGGCACTCAGCTGGGAGGTGCAGGCCGGAGGTCCGGAGGGGGCCGCTCCCCAGGAAGCAGCAGAGAAGGGCCCTCTGTGGTGAGTGCAGGCGCCCTGAGGAGAGCCAGGGCCACTGCGGTGGAGGAAGTGGCTGCACTAGGGGGGAGGCGAGGGGCAGCCTGGCCCCCTGGGGTGGGGGCTGGGGCGGCTGGGCGCAGGTCTAGGAGCCTGCAGGGAAGGGGGCTGTGTCCTGAGAGTGAGTGTCGGGGACCTGACCTTTAAGACCAAACTTCGGTCGCCCCCTCCTTGACATGCCCCCGATGTCTCTGAAGGGGGGCCTCTCCCTGGTCCCCAAGCCCCTGGGCAGGAGGACAGAGCAGCTACAGGAGGACACGCCCCAACATCCCTCCTCACCCGACTCCTCCGCTGCTGGGGTCAAGCACACCAAACCCTCGCCCTTGGCACACGCGCCACAGGAGAGCTCACCCCTTCCCTGTGCACCTCCACCTACCCGGGCCACATCAGCAGGCTCCCCACACCCCACTGCTCTGACCGCTCCCCACTTCCTGCTGCACCTGCAATGTGGTCTCCGGTGACATCGCAAGTAGGGCCTGACTTCTCACCCCTGACCCTGGACCCCTGGGGCAGCAGGTGGCCCACGTGAGTGCCCCGCCCCTCCCCCACCCCACCCCCTGGGGACCCTGTCCAGCCCCCCCCCCACCCCCCGCGCCTGCCCCATCACTGATGGTTTCGGTTTCCAATGAACTACCCTAAAACTCGAGGCCGCCGCTCCCCTGCCGCCTCCCGCCGTCCACCTTCTGCCCCAGCCCGAGGCCCAGAACAAAAGCCCATTGTCTCCACCACCCTCGGGCCGCAGGGGCCCGGGCCCTCAGCAGCCCCGGCCGCCAGCGCGCCCCCCACGCCCCTCCCCGGCCCGCAGCGCCCCCCTCTGCACCCCCCACGTCCGCCCGCCTCTTCTCAGACCCCGGCACCCGGACACCGAGTCCGGTCACGCCGCCCGGTGGCTGCGCGGCGGGGGCGTCCACAGCCCGAGGCTGCTCCGCTCCCGCCCCAGCGCCCCGGGTCGCTCCGGGGGAAGCCGCGGGGTCCCTGAGACTCGCACCGCTGGGGCGCGGAGCGGGGGGCCCGTCCCGTTTCCACAGCGCCCAGCCGGGGTCACGGGTCCAGCAGAGGCCGGGCGCTCCGCAGCGACCCCGTGGAGGGGGGAGGGGAAGAGGGAGGGGAAGAGGGGGAGGGGAGGGGGGAGGAGAAGGAGGGGAGGGGGAGGGGGACGCCGCCGACCCCGCCGGAGGCCCCGCGCCCGCCCCGAGACTCGCGCCCGCTGCCCTCCCGCGCCCTCGCCCCGCCCTCGGCCGGCCGCCCGCTACCTGCGCCGTCAGGCCCTGCTCCTCGTCGTCCTGGCCGCTCAGCACCCGCCGCAGCTTCTCCATGGCCGGTCCCGGCGGCGGCGGCCCCGTTGGCGACCCCCGAGCCCACAGGAACCCGGAAACCGGGCCGAAGTCCCGCCGGAAGTCCGGCCTCCCGCTTCCGGCGCGTAGGGCGGTGCGTAGGCGGCGCGTAGGCCGGCGCGTAGGGCGGTGCGTAGGCGGCGCGTGGGCCGGCGCGTAGGCCGGCGCGTAGGGCGGTGCGTGGGGCGGTGCGTGGGCCGGCGCGTAGGGCGGTGCGTAGGCGGCGCGTAGGCCGGCGCGTAGGGCGGTGCGTGGGGCGGCGCGTAGGCCGGCGCGTGGGGCGGCGCGTGGGGCGGCCGAGGGCGCGGGGCCGGGGCGGGCCGCGGGGGGGCGGTGACCTGCTGATCGGGAGGACCTAAGAAGGCGCATCTCCCCCCGCCCCCCGCACCCCCGCCCCCCGTCCCCCTCCGCCCCCCCCGCCCCCCGCGGACGCTCGGCGCCCAGACCCGCGAGCGTGGCGCCCGGCCCTCCGCAGTGTCCACACCCGGGAGCGGGCGCAGAGCCGTGTCCGGTGTCCAGGCCCAACGCCCAGGGCCTCTGACCACGTCCAGCGCCCGGACTCCAGGTCCAGCGCCTCGGCCGGAGGCCGCCCGTGACCCGCCGCGGCCTCCACCGCTCCGGCCGCAGACGCCCCTCCCCCGCGGGCGCCCCTCCCCCGCGGGGTCGGCAGGACTTCCACGCAGAAGAAGAAACAAGCGAGGCCGCGCGCGGGCCGGTTTCCACGCGACGGAGCGGCGGCGGGCGGAGGCCGCCCAGGCCCAGCGACGCGCCCCCGAAGGTGGTTCCGTAGCTTTCAACCTGCCCTTGGGTGTGAGAAATTCACTTAGAAAATAGTGTTGAAGGTTCAGGACGGGGTTTGCTTTCACTTCCCGTCCCTGCGAGCCCAGCTGGAAAGACACGGCGCGGATTTCCTGCAGCCTGAGGCTGTGGGGGGACCAGGGGGTGACGGCGGGGCGGGGGGGGGCAGGGCCCCCCCGGCTGCGCCGCCTGCGCGGTCGCGTCTGGCCCCGAGCTCTGTGACTGTCGCTTTGTGGAATTGTGGCCGAGTCAACCCAAACTTCTAGTTCACCTTTCCACGTGGGAAAATCGAGGTGACCACGTTTCTCACTTTGCAGGGTTGACGTGGGGGTTCAGTCAGGCGCCGCCACAATCGGTCAACCCTCGTTATTTGTGGAAAGAAAATCTAACCCTTCCTACTTCCTTCCTCTTCCTGCTCCTCAGCCACGTGGCTTTCCAGAGCTTTCCTGTGCTGTCCTCTCCCCAGGCAGGAAGCGCCCCCGCTCAGTTCCTTTCTGATCTCGGAAATCGGGGGTGAGGAAGGTGGACAGGCTCAGTGAGAAGACCCCTTGCGCACAAGTGCGCACACACGCTCGCATGCCGCACCCCGGCACCAGCCGGGCTCGTGGCCATCCGCATTTCTTTCTGAGCACACGCTGCCGCTTTTATTAAAAACCCCGTGTGCCCGGCCCCCCGGCGCTGCCAGCACTGGGTCAGCCCCATCCAGAGCGCCCCACAGCTGCACGCAGCTCTCGGGGGTCACATGGTCGTGGTGGTGGACGCCAGCTCGGGCCACCGCGCAGCTGCTCCTCCGACTTCCCCAAGGCCGGGCAGCTGTTGGCGACTTTTTTGCCTTCTTTTCAGCCACCATCTTCATGCCTAAGGCGAGGGCCAGCCCCCACCACGGGAGGGGGGAGGGGGGCATAGAGCAGGCACTTTCGCCATCCCCTTGCTGCAAAATTTTGAGCCCAGCTCCTTTAGACCAACACTTGGCAGAAGGTTTGCAGGTGGCGAGCACCCCAGGGCCAGTCAGGCCCAGCCCTGGAAGCACAGGTTGGGGGCGGGGGTCCCTGATGCACCAGCTCGCCTGAGGGCGGAGAGCAGAGCCTGGCCAGGAAACTAGTCCACTAGTCCTTGCCCCCAGGGACTGAGCCGGATGCTCTGTGTTCGGGCACCCAGGGCAAGTCTGGCTCTGCAGGCCTGTTGCCATGGTTACCTCTGGCGCTGCAGCAAAGCCCTGGGCACAGGACAGAGGAGGGAGCTGCAGCTTGGGTGAGAGCCGAGGAGTCAGGGATAATTGCTCAGCAGGACTCTGGCTGGAGTGAAGAGATGAGGCAAATCTGAGAAAACAGCCTTTGTTCTGGTTGTGCGTCTTACTTGTCTCCAAAGAGACTGAATTCTTTCCTACCCCAGCTCAGCGCTGACGCTGAGGTCACCCTAGATCCAGGGAGCGCTGGGCCGCGTCAGCAGTGGGGACAGCAGTGGGGGTGTGCCACCAGGACAGGCGCCACTTCCCCGGAGCTGCAGGGAGGCCAAGGACTGGAGGCCACAGCCCTAAGCGCAGGAGGCTGCAGGCAAATAAACCGCAGGTGGTGCGGCCAGGCCGGCAACCACAGGGGCACACATGTGGCACCGGAAGCTCCAGTTAACACTTGCAGGCTGGGCCCCTGGCCCGTCTCCACCCGTGACCGCTCAGCAGCCTCGCGACTCTGCCACAGCCTCAGAGGAAAGGCCACACCACAGGGATGCACAGACCTGGCCCGTGTCCACCTCACACGCCACCACCGCAGGCACTGCGCACGCGCCTGTGAACACGCCTGCACACGCCCCTGGGAAAACACCCGCACACGTGCCTGGGAACACCTGCTCTGGCCCCACCATGGGCCTTTCTGCACGGGACTCTCGCTGCCTGGCACCTTGCGGCCTCCCTCCTGACCCAGCTCCTCCAACTCCTGTTCTCGGCCAGTTGCTGCCGGAGCTCTGGCCCCTCCTCAGGGAGGCCTCCTGGCCTGCTTGAGACATGACAGGCCCCTTGTCCTGCCCTCCCGCTACCTGTGTACCCCAGAGGGGAGGGGACTTCCCGGGCGCTGCCAGCAGCCCCTGACTCAGCACGGCAGGCAGAGGCTGCCCAACCGCACGGACGGGGCCCTGACACACACCGCGGGCCCATCCACCACCTTCTGGAGAAGCAAAGCCGCAGGAACGGGGGTCAGAGGTGGGGGAGTTCGGAGGCGGCGATGCGCATTGTGGTGCAGACCCCACAGAACGCAGCCCAGAACGAGCCTGGGGGCAGAAATGGGCTCTGCCTAGTCGCGGACGCTGTCCCGTCGCTGGTCAGCAGCCCAAGGCCCTGCAGGCGGCGTCGGTAGGGAGGGGAGGCTGGGAGCGCTGCTCTTCCTGTCCATTCTCCGGTGAGCCTGAAACTGCTCTCCCAAAAGGCGTGGGCGCCCATTGCGCTTGCGAGCAGTGAGCAGGCGGGCCGCTCCCCGGGCTGCGTCTGGGGGCGCTGCGCTCTCTGAGAGGGGAGCTCCGGGAAGAGGACAGCCGGGGTGGGGAGCGGAATCCAAATGAATGTTGGTTTGGGGGCTGGTACTGGGAGCGCAAGAGGGGAGATGGCTGGGGCTGGAGGGCCGACGGGGGACGCTCGGCGGACACTGTCCCGGGGTGCGGCTGCGGGGGCTGCTGGGACAGCACCACAGGCTGGGGCGATGGGACAGTCTGGCCGGCACCGCTGCCTCTGTTCTGGGTGCGCAGCAACTTCCGCCTGGACCCGCCCACCAGGCGGAGCCTGATCTCCTCTTCCTGCAGAGCCACTGACCTGACCTGATCCTGGGGCCCCTCTCTCGAGACCCGCTCTACCCCTCGTCACCCCCAAGGGTCCCCCTTGAAACACCCTCACGTTGGAGATTAGGGCTGTGACATGTCATTTTGGGGGCGACACGCCTGTCGGTCCCCAGCCAGCACGGTGAGGGTTTGGGGCGAAGCCTCGGCAGAAGGGAAGTCAGCTGGGTCTGGCGGGAGCCAGCGGCACCGCGGCCAAGGCCCGAGCCCAGGCGCCACCGCGCCGCCCGGAGAAGGGAGCCCGTGCTGGCGGCTGGCCGGGACGGGCTGGAACCCGCGACCCTGCCTCCCGGGCCGGGAAGGAGATGGGCTCTGTGTAGGGAAGTGAGGGCGGGGGCCAGGGCCGAGAGCAGCTGTGCTGGCTCAGAGTGGGCTGGGGCGAAGGAGAGGGACGCAGAGTCCGCCGGGGAGTCCGGGCAGCTCAGCCCTGCAGGCGCTGGAGGCCCCCGGGACCCCAGGCCCGCATGTGCGCTCCCGGCTCAGCCTTGGGGGTCAGCAAGGCGGGCTGTTCCCGTTCTGTCAGGCTGGGGCCCGACGTCGTCGGCCCGCCGCGGGTAAGAACAATCTCGCCCTTCGGCCGCGGCCCCAGAGCTGACGTGCACTTGGGAACGCTCCTGCTGGCCCCGGGCGGGGCGTCTCCACAGCCTGCGAGGGCTGCCCGCGGATGGCAACCTGGGGCGGAAGCGGGCCCGCTGCCCTGGCCGAGGCGCCGTGCGGCGAGGGCTGGGCCCCCGTGGCTGCAGAGCGGGGCACCGAGGACCAGGAGGAAGGCCGGGCAGGTCTCCAGGTGAAGACACGGGGCTGCCGGCGCCTGCAGGAGAACGTTCGGGAGGTGGGGGGCCCAGAAGAGAGAAGGGGGGCCAGTGCAGGGAGAGGGCAGAGGGAGGACGTGGGAGGCAGCCACGGGTGGGGGACCCCCCATCGGAGACCAGCCTCCCCGCGGTCTCCAAGCTGCTCTTCCAGGGCCGCAAGAGCAGGCTGAGCACGCCCACTGCCAAAGAAACCGGGGTCCGCCCCCCGGGGCCCAGGGAGACCTCTCCCCCTATGGAAAGGTGGGGTCTTCACTGTGAGCAGCCCCAGGGTGCCGCCTTCGGCCTGGACACTGCAGGCAGACCCCAGAGGACACGGGGAGGTGATCTCTGACCCCTGCAGCTGTCACTTCACCCCACAATGCCCAGAGGGGCCCGTGGCCATCTGCGGGGGCCCAGCCCTCTGCACCCCACTGGGTGTGTCCACCCTGACAAGGTGGCCTCCCAGCCCTTCATAGAAACCTCCGGGGTCCACAGGAGGTGGGGCGTGCATCCCCACTGGACAGGGTCCAGTCTCTGGACACCGACCCAGGCCCACAGAATGGACGCCTGAGCTCTCGGCTGATCTCTGTCCCGAGCCAAGCCAACCGCCCCCACGTGGCCAGGGCCGGCCACCGCC